GTCATTGGAGTCCCAACGCCTTGTTGTGCTGGGGGACTTCAATGTACACGCCGAGACTGCCTTAGGGGGAGCGGCTCAGGACTTCATGTCTTCCATGGCAACCATGGGGCTGTCCCAACAAATAACTGGCCCCACCCACAGCGCTGGGCACACATTGGATTTGGTCTTCTGTCAAGGATGGGAGCAGGGTGGCGGGGTTGAGGAGTTATCCATCTCTCCGTTGCCATGGACCGACCACTATCTGGTCAGCTTTAGACTTACCGCACCTCCTAACCTCTGCAGAGGTGGGGGACCCATTAAGTTGGTCCGCCCCAGGAGGCTTATGGATCCGAATGGATTCCTGACGGCTCTTGGGGATGTTTCCCGCTGCCTCGGTTGGTGATCCTGTCGATGCCCTGGTGGCTCTCTGGAATGGGGAGATGACCAGAGCAATAGACACGATCGCTCCGGAACGTCCCCTCTCAAGTAGCCGAGCTAAACCAGCCCCTTGGTTCACCGAGGAGCTGGCAGCGTTGAAGCGAAAGAAGAGGGAACTAGAGAGCGTGTGGCGTTCGGACCCGAGCGAGTCAAATCGAGCACGGTTTGTTGCCCTATTAAGGGCATATGCCGTGGCAATAAAGGCGGCAAAGAAATCTTTCTTTGCGGCCAATATTGCGTCCGCAAAGAACCGTCCGGCCGAGCTGTTCCGAGTTGTCAGAGGCCTGTTGAAACCCACCACTTTGGATGGGAGCCCTGACAACTCGACAGCCCGCTGTGAAGCATTTGCTCGGTTCTTCGCGGACAAAGTCGCTTCGATCCGTTCAGGTCTGGATACCATGTTAACGGCAGTCTCTGAGGATGTGACGAGAACATCTGTCTGTCCGGTTTTGATGGATTTGTTTCAATTTGTGAAACCTGAGGATGTGGACGAGGTGCTTGGAGGGATGAGAGCAACCACATGCATCCTAGACCCCTGCCCATCCTGGCTTCTGAAGGAGGCCAGAGGGGGATTGGCCGAGTGGGTGAAGGTGGTGGTTAATGCCTCCCTCCGGGAGGGCAAAATTCCAGCCAGCTTAAAGCAAGCTGTTATAAAACCGCTGTTGAAGAAACCATCACTGGACCCCACTCAATTCGTCAACTATCGGCCTGTTTCCAATCTCCCCTTTTTGGGCAAAGTCCTGGAACGTGTGGTGGCCTCACAACTCCAAGCATTCTTGGTAGACACTGATTATCTGGATCCGGCACAGTCTGGCTTTAGGCCGGGGCATGGTACCGAGACAGCCTTGGTCGCCTTAGTGGATGATCTCCGGCGTGAACTTGACAGGGGGAGTGTGTCCCTGTTGGTTCTGCTGGACCTCTCAGCGGCCTTCGATACCGTCGACCACGGTATCCTTCTGGGACGCCTTGCGGGAATGGGCCTGGGAGGCACTGTTTTACAGTGGCTCAGGTCCTTCCTAGAGGATCGTACCCAGAAGGTGTTGTTGGGGGACACCTGCTCGTCCTCACAACCATTGATTTGTGGGGTCCCGCAGGGTTCAATTCTGTCCCCCATGCTGTTTAACATCTACATGAAGCCGTTGGGAGAGATCATCCGGAGTTTCGGGGTGAGGTGTTATCTGTACGCAGATGACGTCCAGCTCTGTCACTCCTTTCCACCTACTACTAAGGAGGCTGTCCAGGTCCTGAACCGGTGCTTGGCTGCTGTGTCGGACTGGATGAGGGTGAACAAATTGAAACTCAATCCAGACAAGACAGAGGTACTCCTAGTCAGTCGAAAGGCCGAACAGGGTATAGGGTTACAGCCTGTGTTGGACGGGGTCGCACTCCCCCTGAAGACGCAGGTTCGCAGCTTGGGTGTGACTCTGGATTCTTCGCTAAGCTTGGAACCCCAAGTCTCGGCGGTTTCCAGAGGAGCATTTGCACAGCTTCGGCTTGTGCGCCAGCTGCGCCCGTATCTTGGGAAGTCGGACTTGGCCACGGTAGTCCACGCTCTTGTCACATCCCGTATAGATTACTGCAACGCGCTCTACGTGGGGTTGCCCTTGAAGACTGCCCGGAAGCTTCAGATGGTCCAGCGCTCGGCAGCCAGGTTGCTAACGGGAGCGGCTCTCAGGGAGCACACCACCCCCCTGCTGAACCAGCTCCACTGGCTGCCAATTCGCTACCGGGCACAATTTAAGGTGCTGGCTTTAGCCTATAAAGCCCTACACGGTTCCGGCCCCACTTACCTCTCCGAACGCATCTCCTCCTACGAACCGGGAAGAGCGTTAAGATCTTCCGGGGAGGCCCTGCTCTCGGTTCCGCCGGCGTCACAAGTGCGGCTGGCGGGCACGAGAGACAGGGCCTTCTCGGTGGTGGCCCCTCGGCTATGGAATGCGCTACCGGTGGACATCAGGCAGGCCCCTTCGTTGCTGGTGTTTCGGAGGAGGGTGAAGACGTGGCTCTACGAGCAGGCATTCGGATAACTATGCAGTAACAACTAACTCAATAATGACGGCATCGGACAAGGAATGGAAAAAGGATCTTGAGATCGGAATCTGATTCTAAGTGTGGCGTTGATGATTATGTGTTTGTCTGTATTGTGTGTCTCATACATTGTTTAGTGTTGCTTTTTATTGTAAACCGCATTGAGTCGCCGCCTCAGGCTGATATATGCGGTATACAAATAGAGTAAATAAATAAATAAATAAATAAAATAAGAATAGATGGCATACATACTTAATCATAGCAGTTTTGTACTCAAAACCATATCAAGAATACATAATGAAATTCCCATAATTCATTAAAATCAGCTATGTGGGTCAGGAATGAAAGAAATATGTTGCCCATCTTTGGGACACACACAAGCAATCCCCTTTTTCTTGTCAATACATGTATATGGCACTAGTACTTATGAATGATATGATGTGGTATAAATTGTGGACATTCAATTGATAAGAATTTTAGTTTGTTAAAAATATGATCATTTACTGATCATTTCATGTTATCATTACTTTTATTTTTTAATCTGCTTTCTAATGATGGAGAAAGGTAAGAGTGACCTGCAAGTGCACATGGGGGTAGTATTTCATACACAGAATTTCATGTAAGCAGATGTAATTCAAATTGTGTTGTTCAGGTTAAGAATTTGGATAAAAATTATTTGAAAAAAAGAAAGAATTTGGAATGATTTGTGTAGATGGTGGACAATACATTCCTAATCTGTGAAATCCCAGTTTAGGATTTTAGTGGTACAAATGGGTCAGAATCCTGGTAGTGTAGGATTCTATAACTTTTCCTAGGGTCATGCAGTGGCGTCATAATGGAAGGCAGGCAGATTCCTTTGTTTGTTATCAAGTAATGTCTCCAACAGGCTTTATGGCTTTCAAGGCTACTATGTTTGATTGAAGCACTTTCCCTAGACATGTGTTCTTATGCCAGTGAAGTGCACCAAAAGAATTCTGGTGGTGAAGTGTCACTGTTTCTAGGATAGGGGTGTAATTCATTGCTAGAGCACATGCCTTGAACATATAAACTTTTAGTTTAATCCCTGGCATCTTTAGATATAACTTTTAGTTTTAAAAAAATGTGTCAATAATTCTAGAACAGCTCTCTGTAATCTGATCCCTCTAGATATGGCAGATTACAGTTTGACTTGGTGATGGTGGAATCTGTATTCTAACATATCTGGGTGGTGCCACATGCAGGAAAGTTGATGTACAGTATTCACATAGACCACATTCCATGTTTGCTTCATACGTTTAAGATGCTGGATCTCAAACAAAAATTATCCATGACTGGTATATGAGACATAGATATAATCCAGGATAGCAATTTTAATTCACATCGTTACTTATGTAAATGTGTATGATGAAGAGTTAATTATTACCTCAAATTGACAAGGATGTCTGTGTTTGTTTTTCACATTTTTGTTTTTCATTTTCAGAATCCTAGAATAGAATCACAGAGTTGGAAGAGGCAGCAAGGGCTAATCAGTCCAACCCCTTGCTATGCAGGAAAAGAAAGCACAAAGTGCCTACATACAGTGGCCATTCAGCCTCTGTTTATAAGCCTCCAAAAAAGGAGCTTCTGCCACACACAAGGCAATGAGAACCCTTCTACACTGCCATATACAATCCAGTTGATCTGCTTTGAACTGGATTATATCGCAGTGTGGACTCATATAATCCAAAGATGATAATTTGGATTATCTGGGTAGCAGAAAACAAGAATGCTCCCTTTTTCTTATGACATTCTTTCACATATTTAGACATGGCGATCATGTCTCCTCTCAACCATCTCTTCTGCAGGTGAAGCATTCTCAGCTCTTTAATCCGCTCCTCATAGGGCATGGTCTCCAGACTTTGATCATTTCAGTCACCCTCTTCTGGACATGTTCCACCTTGTCATTATCTCTCTTAAATTATGCTGCCCAGAATTGGACACAGTATTCCAGGTGAGGTCTAACAAAAACTGAATAGAGAGGCACTATTGCTTCTCTTGATGCATTCCAAAATCCCATTGGCTTTTTTAGTTGCTGCATCACATTGTTGGCTGATGTTCAAATTGTTATCCATTAAGACTCCAAGAACTTTTTCACAGGTATTGTTGTCGAGCCAGACGTCACCAAACCTGTATCTTTGCGTTTCATTTTTTTCCTGCCTAAGTGTAATATCTTATATTTCTCCTTGTTGAAATTCATTTTGTGAGTTTTGGCCAACCTGTTAGGATCATTTTGAATTCTGATCCTGTCTTCTGGAGTTATGTGACACAAACCATGGTTTAAGAAAAATGATAGAATATAAAGTAATAATTGTGAATAGCAATTGATGCTCAGTACTTCTGAGCTTCAGTGTCTGTCATTTCATATATTTGACAGCAGGTTTACAGCAATGTCCGTTACAAATTAACCCACATTTTGCAGTATATTCCAGACCTCTCTGTAGATATGAGAGTTTAATGCAGATTTCATGGATTTCAAAATGATTCCCTCCTTTTTTTAAACAAAAAAATGATAAACACATCATTCTTTGCACAAAGCATTAGAAAATACTGTGATATTTTATTATTAAAAATGCTGCTGAAAAGTTTATACATATGTGTCCAGCCATATATATCTTCTGTCCTTACTTAAGGCAAAACCAAAAATAAAATAAAATGCAGAAACAATAACAAAAGAAACCCTGCGTGCCTCTTAAGGTCAAGAAGAAAAGTCTGGGAAAGTTCTTTTTTCTTTTCTTTAAAGTATACTTTGTTGTTATTATTATAGAATCCTATGAAGAGCCTAAAAATTTCCATTTATAAATCATACATCTGTCCAGACGTATTAAATTATTAAAGTGACATCATCGTCATCGATTTCTTTAAAAGCTAAGATCATTCACTTACAGAAACGTTTTTACCCAATGTCACAAGCCTGACACAGTACTGTACATATTGCTAGCAGTAGACAACTGGAAGTGCTAAACGAATACCGTAATTCACATAACAAACTTACCCAACTGATTTAGATGGCATCTCATTTCATTTTTTAACCCCTGTCCCCCATCATGAAGAATTGCTGTGTTTTAGTGGAGGCAATGTGTTGGTTGTGATGATGGCACAGAATAGATCCAACTTTCATTACAATTACTATTAGAGTGAAAAGATAGAGGTAGGCTTTTTTGTCTTTTAGCCATTTACTTTTGGGTAAAAACTGAAACTCTTAGCTCATTCAAATTCTCACATGGAATCAAAAGGGAAGCACCTATTCATTTCACTTGCTGATGTAGCACCAATCACAATTTCAATTTTTGCTGGTGCTTTCTCTGCCAGAGACAGCAAAAAGCTGTGCATATTAAACAAACAGTGAGATATGAAGATATCCTATAAGTTAGAATGTCACAAGTTGTCTATTCTAAAGGCATCAGGCATCCACTGTCAGATCTTAATTTCTGGCGATGATAACACACCAATGTTGTGCCCTTCTTAATACAGGGAAATAAAAAATACAATATACATCCTGGGAAAGATATTATCTGGTGCAAGCAACTCTGTTCAAATATCTTTGGTTACCATCTTAAACTTTAGCTTTTCTAACAACAAAATACAAAGTATTGTTTGCTTATTAATAATTCAATTCAACCTTTATAACAGCTGGACTGCTTTCAAAACTTTACACAGAAGTGCCAAATATCTTGTTGGGTCAGCTCCATTTCATCTCAAAGTCTCATGGAATGGGGAATTAAGGAAAGTTGAGGGGTTACTAGGAAACAAAAATGTGTATAATGTTTTTGGATAGTGTAAAGATCCAATTTTTTCAAGGCAACTCACCAATTGTATGTTTGATATGATTTTTCCCCTATCTCTCCATGGCATCATCTTTTCTACGGTGCAATAAAACTGCCCAGCAAAATAGTGGGTTTAGTTAAAAATAAAAACCTTAGATCCACCCAGATTTCTTCCCTTTTACATTATTGAAACCACAGCAAATATAATTATGCCTTGGCTCACTTGGCCAACTTGCATGTTTCCTCTTTTCTTCTGTAAACTGCTGATATAGGCAGAAACTTATTTTCTTCAGAAAGAAGACTGGCTGGAAAGGCAGTCTTTCTTTAAATGCATTGTGGTACAAAATAATTGGGAAGCAATGTTTCATGGCACACCAAAAATGAATAAAGAGGCCCCAATTTACCAAGCTTTCTTGTTTGTTTGTAATTCTTCCATTCTCTCTGTGTTGCAATATAATGAAGGCTAACACAAAAATTGGAAAGAAAAAAAAGATTATTTTTTCCCACAAGTAAACAAACCCAACTGTTTCCTATCTATGAATGCCTGATCATGCACATGTGCCACCTGTAAAGAAAAATCTGGCAGGCCACACAGTCACCTGTCTTTTCTTTATGACACACCATGTTCTCCTAGAAATGAAACTTTAGGAAAAAACCTCATGTCTTGGTTTACCACTAGTAATTAAGAAGAAAGTCCTCCTTTTGACCTAGGAGGAAACAGAGGTGATATGACTAATGTTTATACACATAGATCACAACTGAAAGCACAATCTTTCTAAAAGCTCTTTTCAACTGAAAACATCAACAAAAGCTTCTTTTTTTTAAACTCACGGCTATGTACAATTTTTGTTTTTTACAAAGTTTCTTAAATATAGTTCAGGCTGGCAAGTCATCTCTTTGCACAGAACTATACGGATTTACTGCATAGTCAGTCTATTTTGTCTTACTAATAAAATCTTATTTTCCCATTCTGGATTACAGCTTCTTATGATGGGTAAAAGCCCATGGTGATGTCTTTTGTATAACAAGGGCCATCCACGGTATGGCACATATAGAACATTTTTTAAAATTTTATTTATTAAAAAACTGTACAGTCACTGGCTCTGTGTTCTAGAGCTTCTGCTTCTGTTTGTTATACTCAATACATATCCTTTTCTATATGACTTTCTTCAGGCCTCAACTTTTAACTTTCAATTAAAGTGGTTGAGATATTAAAGCGGTCTCCTGATAGCAATGTACACATTTCACATTTCACAGGGTTTGAGAAGGTGATCTTTTTAATTTTTTTTAGAATATCAGAGTTCCTATGGGAAGGAGCTGTAATAAAATGATGTCTGACTTTTTCTTTCACCTTTGTGTTTTGACAAGTTTGCATGGTGGAGATTATGAACTTTTAATTTTTTTAAAATTTTCTTTTATTTTTTCTCTTATTTTTAATCTTCAAGGTGGCATGGGGTGGGGCAAATGACAGAGCTATACTCTAGTGGTAGAATGTCCATGGGGCAAATTAGTACTGTTTTGTCCTCCGCTGAAAGTGTTGAAAGTATGCAATGGCTGCATACCTGTTAATGTATTTGGAATCATGGTTATGGTGTTGGGTGTCATGAGTGGGATATCATCTGGAGATCTTCGAAGAGTAAGGGTATAATCAGGTGGGCAAGTGAGTCTCAGTGTGTCATGGGCCTGTAAGGATTCACATTCATGATCATGCTCCAGCTGTTTCATCTGCAGGGACATAATCTCTTCATTCTGTATATGGGCGATATCATTAGTTGTATTCCGTTGAGGACTGGGGCGCCTGTGTGTCTCATGGCGACGCTTGTCCTTCTTATAATATAAAGCTGCAAATGCTAAAATGTTGAGGAATAACAATGATGCACCCACAGCAATGGTAACACTCAATTCAGTGGAATAATCTCTCTTGTTTTCAATCAGAACACTTGTATCCTCTGGGGATGTCTTCTGTGTATCTTTTGAATGCTTTGGATTGTTGCTTGGTGTCATTAATGGACGCTTGGTGGTGAACTTGCCAGGAGAACGTCTGGTGACATAAGGAAATGATGTCAAATCTGGTGGTGGCACCTTGGTTGTTGTGGAGACGTACTGAAATATTTCATTTAAGTTATGTAAATGGGGTACAAGTTCTAGCCAGAAAGCGACTTTTGTTGCTCGATAATGATCCCGAACTCTGGGCTTCAAGCCAATGTGTAGATAAAGTTGGTCTTTTGGATTATATTTAGACCAGGCTACTTCTTCAAAACGGTTGGGTTTCGTATGTATAAACTTTGTATCCTGAGGAACAGGCTGATTGGGATCCCTAAAAATAAACATACAAAACAACATTACAAGTAATGAAAAACCCACAAAGAAGTACATGCTCATTAATAGAACTAGCTCTATATTGCTTTCATGAATGATTTTGCGTTCAAAGATTTTCAAATATAGGATAGGATACAATAATTGTAATGATGATGACTGTAGCAACACCTACACTGGTTTATTGGACTCATTGGACCAGGCCACATGTTCAAATGAGAGGCTTTGTGTACCAGCATACATGCTTATAAAAAGAAAAAAAAACAAAATCATTTAACAAATAGCAACAAATCTAAGGCTCCAATAATATATGCTCTGAACTTTGGTATGGAAAACTCTGCCTAAAATGCAATAAAAATAGTCCAAAAAGAGGATCCAAGATGAATGCACTGAACCTATGTCAAAACACACAAATAATAGAGGGATAGTGAGGAAACTTGAATGTTCAAGTATAAAATGACTTCACTGAAAAAAACGCTTGAAGAACACTTTGCAGAATTAGTGTGAACACTGAGAAAGCTCCATTCCCCATCCACATCTTTAAATGGGGTGGAGATCAAATAAAGAGCCCATTATTTAACCCATCTTCGTATGTCTGGTGCTGTTATCCCATGACTGGTTCTCAAAAAAGACAAATATGTGAATAATAGTTTTGCTTAGTTTCTGTCTGTTGTTATAACATTCATGCTTTTTCCTCTAGTTCTTTTTGACATATTAGTGCTTGTTCAATAATGTATTATGAAGTGTAATGCATCGCACTGAGGGTTTTCATGTTTTGTTTCTATATATATTAGGTTTATTTGTTTTAGAAACTAGAATTACAGTAATCCTGTCTGCAGAATTCTAAAGCTTGACTGAGTTAGGTCAGCTATTTTCAGAATATCCATAAGTATAATTAAATACTCCCAAGGTTTCTTTATCATTCAAAAATACTGCTTTTTATTAGAATAGGCAAAACTACTATTTTATTTTTATAGTAGCTTTCTGTTCAGTTCAGTTTAGGTTTCTAGAGGACAAAAGTAAAGTCCCCTGCCATTGTAATACACTACATTAAAATGGCTGAATTTTTCAATACAACACAGTATAATTTCATTAAATAGTCTCTTTTGTGTAGATTGTATACACGGTTTTAAGAAAATGTTCTTACTTTGCATTTCGCTAATCCAATTGGAAGTGCAATTCTTGCCATTTTGTAAGAATTCACACCATAACTTCAGTTAAAAACAAACACTTTTTTCAGAGTGGGGGGATAATTCCACATTTTTTTCAAATCAGAGAACAAAATGTAAAAGTAAATCTTTTATTTTCATTTGTGATGTAGATAGATATATATTGAATCTACACACATTGATTAACAAATGAAGACTCCTTCACACATAATTAACTAAAAAGAGATCAAGTTATTATCAAGGACATTTTTTTTCTGAATGAACCTACATTTCTTTCAAATTTGTTTGTTTCCTCATGTTTTCTGAACTACAGCTTTCATGATTTCACAGAGCTTCTATCTGAATATTATGGGAGCTTTATTTTCAGCAGGTTTGTTGGGTGATGTACCTGCAGATCATGGACTGTAGTATCCATGAATTGCATTATTTCCATTGGGATAGACATTTTGAAGGAACCCCTCCAGTGATCATTCTTAAATGACAATGCGATATAAATACATATTTTAATCTCTGACAAGAACTAAACTAAGCATGCATATTTTTATATTTGTGTATCTTTCACATATTTATCTTTATGTGCATGATCTTTGTCGACATTATATACACATTCCTATCAGAATATGTTGCTGGTGGTGTAAGAGAAGAGTGTAGCAACAGGAATAGTAGTGCAATGAGAGAAGGAGACTGGAGAGTTTAACAAATGAAACTAGACTTTTACTTTTTACCTTATTTCTTAAGCACAATTTGCCATTCAGTGCCAAGCCCCACAGCCAAGATAGTCTAGCTGTGTTAGCATATTTATAAAATGCTTGCCTTGAGGGTGTACAACAATACTTAACTATTGGTGTGATTTTATTGATGTGCTTTTAAAATGACTTTTAATTGATCATATTGATGTCACCTTATTCCAAAATGACCTTGCTCAGGAATTCCTTATAGAACAGTTTCCCCAAATCTAGTGTCCTTCAAATGCCTAATGGCAACATCTCCCATCAACACTGATTACTTGAGTTATTAGCTGTGGGCATATGGAAATCCTAGCCCAAAACATCTTAAGGGCATCTCTTTGGGGAAGCTGAATATAGATATATATTTTTAAAAGCGTATGAAGGAAGATAAAACCCAACAGAACTCCACAACATAAGCACTATGGAGTCAAACTGAGCTCTCCTACCATTCCCTTCTGAAATGACTCTCAGGTATGAGTTGAACAACCTTATCCCCATGCCCCTTACACCTGGGTTCACAAAACTGCTTCATCAGCATGGCCACACATAAATCCAGACAAGACAGAGATACTCCTGGTCAGTCATAAGACCGAACAGGTTACGGGGTTACAGCCTGTGCTGGACGGGGTCACACTCCTCCTAAAAGCACAGGTACGCAGTCTGGGAGTTCTCCTGGATTCATCGCTGAGCCTGGAACCCCAGGTTTCAGCGGTGGTCAGGGGAGCATTCGCACAATTAAAACTTGTGCGCCAGCTGCGTCCGTACCTTGGGAGGGCTGACTTGGCCACGGTAGTACACGCTTTGGTTACATCCCGCTTAGATTACTGCAACGCTCTCTACGTGGGGTTGCCTCTGAAGACTGCCCGGAAGCTGCAGCAAGTACAACGCGCGGCAGCCAGATTACTAACGGGTGCGGGGTACAGGGAGCACACCACTCCACTGTTACTCGAACTCCACTGGCTGCCGATTAGCTTCCGAGCACAATTCAAAGTGCTGGTGTTAACCTATAAAGCCCTAAGCGACTCTGGCCCTGTTTACCTTTCCGAACATATTCTCCCCTACGAACCATCAAGACCACTAAGATCATCTGGAGGGGCCCTGCTCTCGGTCCCTCCGCCTGCACAAGCACGGCTGGTGGGGACGAGGGACAGGGCCTTCTCGATGGTGGCCCCTCGACTTTGGAACTCCCTGCCATTAGAGATCAGAACTGCCCCCTCCCTCATGATGTTCAGGAAACTAACAAAGACCTGGTTGTGGAACGCGGCATTTGACAACTGATTTAATTCTTTGCCCACATGAAAGGATGATGAATGGGATTGTGATGGTGTCAGACGATTTGGCTCTTTTAACTGGGATGATAATGTTTTAATGTGTATGGTGCTGATATTTTAATCGTGTAATGAAGTGGCATTGTGTTGTTATTGTATATTTTTTGTATGTTAACACATGTTGTAAACCGGTCCGAATCCCTCTTTGAAGGTGAGAGGGTCGGTATATAAAACCTCGAAATAAATAAATAAATATATAAATAAATTACACTGTAAAAATTTTATCTTTGCTCAAGTGACATCGTACTATATAACATATATAGCACATTTTGCTTTGTTGAGTCTCCATCAATTTAACACAGTTTTTGCCACAAAAACAAAGTTTCCGGAATAGAATAATGACTTTCAAAGTAAAGTCCACACAATGAAACAGGAAATAACACTTTCAAACCAGGAATAGATTTTCTTTATTATTAAAAATGTTTTTAATAAAAGCTTTGAAAATTCACCAAAAATCTGTGAATAAATCAAAGGTTCTGAAATTTGGTGAGTTAACAGTGGTAAATGTGTTCTACCACTCTAGTAAGATTCACCTCAATAGCTTTAAATATGAGGGAGATAGGAGCCCCTGATTTTCCCCCATTGGCAGTGATGCCTTCCTTATTGAGCATGTGTGGCCGCCATTAACGAAGCACTTATGAAGATCCGTAAGTTTCATTAAGTTCTGAAATTTTCACCACCCAAAATTTGGATATACTTTAGAAATGAATCACCAGTGCCCCCTATTTTAGGAAGGAGTTTAGAACCATTTTTTTAACAGATCGCCCATGCCTAATGCTTTCATAACCAGGGCTGACAAACACTTAAAACAGAAATAATGGGAAAGGTTTTGCTGTTTCATAGGAAGGCAAAGATAAGCAGAGGAAAAGGTTAAAACACAGTCTAATTTAAAAGGGTGGGAAGAGCAATGAGAAGGAGGGAAGTAGTGGAAGGATGGCAAGACAGAAAAGAACAAAAAAGGGGGAGGATACTGGGAAAGTAAGACATTTTCAATATCTGTAAAGTTCATATTTCTGTTAGTCTTTATATAAAAGATTACAGACTGAGATACTTTATCCAGAATTCAGAAATCCAAAATACTCAAAAATCCAAAATTGCTTGTATGGGTGACTCAGTGATGCCTTTGCTTTCTGATGGTTCCATGTACACAAACTTTGCTTCATGCACAAGATTATTAAAAATATTCTACATAAAAATAGTTTGCATATAAAGTGTATATGAAGCATAAATAAATTTCACTTTTAGACTTTGGGATAAAGATATCTCATTTTGCATATAAATATGCAAATATTAAAAAAGAAATTCCAAAACAAGAATTTTGGGTAAGGTGTACTCAACCTGTAAAGATTTAACAATTTATTTTATGATAAATACTTATTCTTGCTGAAACTTTTGTTGTGTGATATGAAATTTACCTAGGAAGTCAGACCGCAGAAAATTATCTTAGCATTGCCTCTTCTGTATGGCAGCAGTCCTCCAGTAATTTAAGTAGCACTCTTTCCCAGTCTTTTCTGAATACACCAGGCACTGAACCTGGGAACTTCTGCACACTAAGCAATTGCTCTACTACTGAATTGTGCTTTCTTCTAGACCATTCAGTAAAACAACCTTTCCTTTGTGGTGTATCAACTTGACAGCTTTGCTCACTCAGCTTGACATCATCTTTCAAATATCTCCTGTATTTAATGTCTCCTTACAGATGAAAATGAAAAGGCATCCTTCATAGTGTGTTTTCAGAAGGCTGCTGGATCCTTTTCTGATTACCATATATACTCA